ACTGTGATTTGGTCTGGATTAATGACGTCGTTGATCGGTCTATATTGGTTCCGTTCAAACGCCAATCTCTAATTGCCAAAATACAAAGAAAATAAAGCTACAAACTTTGCAAAACAATGGAATCATTATGAGAAATGAAAAACAATCATTGCATTTACATTTTCATAATATCTGCTTAATCATTCATTTTTTGTAAAAAATTAATAATCAACATATTAACAATGTGAAGAATGTTGGTATGCTGTTTTACTTGTTACATAAACAACATAGCATTCGTAAGGTCTCAAATCACAACAATGTGTCACCTTCACATTTCAAATCAACAAAACAGATACGAAAATGATTAAAGACAAGATTATATAGATTCATAACCCTACAACTTGAATTTTCAATATAAACCATATTCTTTTAACATGCAAAGCTGAAAGACAACCTATGTAACCTAAACCAACTTCTAGTTTGATTTATGTTGTTAAAACAAATATTTCATCTAATAACGTTAAAAAAACAAAGGATCCTTGATCTAAAGGTATGTGAGCCTTTGGCCTTTAGCAGGTCAGAAGTTCAAATCTCACAAAACCTAGGTAATCTAAACCAGCTTCTAGTTTGATTTATGTTGTTAAAACAAATAGTTCATCTAATAACATAAAAAAACAAAGGGGGCCTTTGACCTAGCGGTATGTGAATCTTTGGTTTTCTAGCAAGTCAGAGGTTCAAATCTTACCAAAGGTGAGAAGGGCATGCGAATTTATTTGTTTTATTCGTCGTATATAAATACTACATACTTAAAAAACATTAAAAATTTTATCAAATAGCATACAAAGAATAAAGAATTTATTGATATCTACCCCCAATTGAATTTACATATATATGATACTTGCATCAAAATAATAATGTCCAACAACTACTTTAAATAGGGATGAGTTTGATATTTTTAAGGTGCATTTGGTGCACAAACCATATGAGATAGGACGAGACAAAAGAAAGTATCATGTCTGACATGACATAAAAAAACACGGTTGGACAAAAACTATATAAGCTAGTTTTTGTCAAACATAATTTGTTCATCAGCTATTAGTAGGCTTTGTCGGTCAACGTCTAGCTTATCAACCATCAATTATTTTATCAGCTATCAGTTAGTTTATCAAACATAACGTTATTTCCATAACAATATAATTTCACCATAAATCTAACATTGAAGATCAAACCTTGAATATTTATGTTTTCCCCACAATTTCTCTCTTTAGACCGAGAGTTTATGAACACCACTAGTCAGCGTTGGTTCTAAGGTTGTAGGTGTCTAGAAGTTCCCCATCAAATCCCCATGGCTCAACTCTGGACATGCGGTGGAAACTCCTTTGAGGGGAGAAGGATGAATTGTTAGTGTAGACGATTTGGAAGATATAATCGGCGGCTTAAATAATGAATTTATAAATAGAATTGAGGCTTTAGAGACAATATTTCTCTAAATATACTTGAAACAAAGACTAGATTGTCATGCTGTCAAGATATCAGTATCCTTGGTTTCATAGCAGTCCCAAACATGCCTCTAGAAAGATCAGAAGTGGTCAGAGCTGTAATTGTCTAACGAATACACATGCCCAAATTGATATAAAAGAACAACAAGTTTTTTTGGGGTTCTAAAAACTGCATTCAAATCCAAGACTTTTGTTCAATAGTTTCATATAAGTACAGAGTAGCAGTTATATCGTCAAGAAACCATTTAAAATAAATCCAAAATAAACTACATTTAGGATACAGTACTATCTACCATCTAGTCCAAATTTACATGAGAGATATGTGAACCTCATATTGGATTTAATGTAGAATTCTGAAGAGCTGCTTATTTGGAACTAACTCATAAGAACATACACCAAAAACAATAGCACAAGGACAAATTTGTTTGGTTGTAAATTTTTTTCTAAGGATAACAAAGAAATGACAAAACAGATGACAAACCTTGTATAAAGTATGCTCTTCGATTTCAACCGGTCCTTTGATAGCCGAAATAGGATTCAACGGCGTAGCCTCTAATCCGCACCTCTCCCTGAGAGCTTGAAAACGAAAGCATCCATGGAGAATCTACCTCTTACTATATAAAGGGAAGTTCTCACACACTTGAAAACACCAAATATATCTAAAGTTCCATTAAGACAACGACGGTACCGCTAAAAGATGGCATCCCAATTAGCATTATTCTCCGTGATAGTACTCTTACTAATGGTGGGTACTAATGCCGGCGGCATTGCTATTTACTGGGGTCAAAACGGCGGTGAGGGCACATTGGCAGAGACGTGCTCAACTGGGAACTACGATTATGTCAACCTAGCGTTTCTTGCAACATTTGGTAACGGTCAAACACCCATGATAAATCTTGCTGGTCATTGTGATCCGTACAGCAATGGGTGCACCAATTTAACATCGGATATCGAATCATGTCAAGCTAAAGGAATCAAGGTGATGCTCACAATTGGAGGAGCAGCTGGAAGCTATTACCTCACTTCTGCTGCAGATGCTAAACAAGTTGCTACTTACCTTTGGAATAACTTCTTAGGTGGGAAATCAACCACTCGTCCTCTTGGCGACGCCGTGTTGGATGGAATTGACTTTGATATCGAAGGAGGAACTACGCAACATTGGGATGATCTTGCCAGGTACCTTTTTTAAAGTATATAATATTTATATCCGACAAATAGTACCCACACTTTGAATCCTTGACCTCTTGGGAGGCTAGGCTCTAGTGATAATCCAGCCAAAGACTCTTTTGTGATCTCGTGAGGTATCATTCTTTTGAAGTATATAATTTTATATACGACAAATAGCAATTTCCAACAAACCAAAACGTATATATACGACATACTCACACACACTTCTCAGTCCTCACCTTTGGTGTGAGATTTGAACTCTTGACATCCTCAAAAACTGTGTGCTCTACCCGTAATCCGGATACTGCTTGGCCAATGACCCTCTGGTGATCTTGCTAGGTACCTTTCTGGATATAGCAATCAAGGTAAGAAGGTATACTTGACRGCAGCACCCCAGTGTCCCTTCCCAGATGCATATATTGGAGTTGCACTTAAAACGGGCCTTTTCGACTATGTTTGGGTTCAGTTTTATAACAACCCTCCTTGCCAATACTCTGGAGGTGTTACCAATCTTGAAGATTCATGGAAGCAATGGACTTCTGACATACCAGCAACCAAGATTTTMTTGGGGCTACCTGCAGCACCTGCAGCTGCAGGAAGTGGATACATCCCTGTTGGTGATCTAACATCTCAAGTTCTTCCAGCAATCAAAGGTTCTGCAAAGTATGGAGGTGTTATGTTGTGGTCTAAATACTATGATGATCAGACTGGATATAGTTCTTCCATCAAAAGCCATGTGTAGGGTGTGAAGTCCATTCGTGTTGTGTTGATTGTAGAAGTCTGCTTGTATCATGATCTTATGTGATTATAATATTTGATTATTGAGCTATCTAATTTCCAATGTTATGATAATTTCTCATGCAACTATAATATTTGCCTAGTGCATAGAAGAGGTACACAGACATTCATACAAAGAAATACATATTGATTCGGATGTGAGAATAGGAGTTAAAGTGAGAAGTGTAAAAAGGGATTTGGACCCTTAATCACCTTTAACCTCAACCCAACCCATGAATTGAGGTTAGAAGGGAATTGATCTGGTGTATCTCATTAATGTTTCTCTTCAATTAGATTCGATCCAAGGATGGAGATCTTTTCTTACCCTTCTCACCATAACTTTCATTCTTACCGGAACCCAACTCTACTGATTCATACACTTTTGTATATGTGAGCTTGATTTGATCTCAATTGAATATAAACAATAGACAAAATTGTGAATGATGAATAGAAACACACTTAAATCAATTAAAGCGAATGTAATCACATCAAAACTAATCAAATAGTTCATTTAAACATTCCAACTCATCATTCAACTAATCCCAAAGTGAATTTACCCTAACATTGATGCGATCAAAAGAATTCAAAATGATATATAGGATTATTCACTCGGTTTCAGTTAAAGCTCAATCCAGACAGTAATGGCAGGACAAAAGAACTACCATTCATGTTCAATTGTCAACATAAAAGATATATAACATGAAGTTCAAACCACTAAAAATTTGAGAACTCCCTGTTGGTATGTTGAATCGGATAGAGCGCAAAACTGAACAGCTTCTGATACGTGCGTCTGATCACTCTACTGTTGATTCGATCCCCAAGTGTGTTTATCTGTTGTTTATATTCAATTGAAATCAAATCAAGCTCTCATAAATAAACATGTATGAATAAGTATGTATTTCTCTGTAGAAATGTCTATATACCTCTTCTACGTACCAGGCAAAGATATTATACAAAAAATAAGAACACTTAAATAGTTTATTTGATACTAATATTAGTATCTGTTTTTCAAAATTTTATGATATCTTCAAATATATATTTAAAACATTATATCATTGATAGAGACAAAAAGTAAAACGAAATCAGATTTATCTTGTTGTATTGTATTGCACGAATACCTTTGAAAGAACTTTCATATAACAAACTAATAGTAATAAAAGGATGGGTACAATAAATCAATAGTCCACCCTGATGTTATTATATCACACTCAAAAACAAAAATAAGATTGGGCGTCTACCAAACATTTATCCGATAATTGTTTATTGGTAAAATTTAACATTATCACTTACTTATCGGATAAGATTTTAGTTAACAAAAATAACATCGTATGCAACAATTTACCCGGTAAGTGCTAGTTGTGGTAAGAGTCGTTTCCTTCATTTATCGGATAAAATTTTTGGTCTTTGTCTCCCTCTTAACAGATAAAATTCTTAATTCTTGCGATATTCACCAGATAAGATAAGATAAGATAAGATAAGATAATATGATTTGATAAGCTCTTGCTCGGTTAATCCCAAAATAAATAAAATGATTCAAGCGATTCCATGTCTACGTTCAAAAACATATCTTATTGCAATTCCGATAAACAGTCTGCAACTAGGTGAAATTGATGTAGATCGGAGCTTATTCGCCGGGAAAAACAGGAGAATAGTAACTTCAATCGAGATAAGAACATATAAATTTCATGATTCGTGTTTCCAATTCTCTTATTCGATCTTAAAATTGAAGAATCTGTTCTGAAATCTGAATGTTGAAAGAAAATGCAGGAGATTTCATGGAGAGATGATCGGTAAAGTGAAACCACCGGAGAACGGCAGATATCAACCGGCCATTTCGAGAATCGCCGGCAACAGAAGTCGGAAAAGTTAAAAGGTTTTCGACTTTTCATACACGCTTCTAACCTCGCGCGTGCGACGCGCTGACTAACCGATGTTCCTCGATTCATCCTCCAGAAGTTTCGTTTTAATTTCGTTTTTTCTTCTTCGAGTCCGGAATTCGTTGAACATATCTGAATCCAGAACCCTAATTCTCCAATTTGGCATCAATTCGTGATTAAACTACTGAAATTTCATCAGATCTGTTTACGATGTGGAATCAACAACCGTTTCTGAAAAGCGACGTTGAGTCGGGGTCAGGAGAGCCGCTGTACCCGATGATGTTGGAGTCGACGGAGCTACGGTGGTCGTTTATTCGGAAGATATACTCAATCGTCGCCATACAATTACTCCTCACCGCCGTTGTCGGTGCCATCGTCGTTTCGTATCATCCTATCGTCAATTTTTTAACCACCACTAATGTTGGATTCGCTTGTTACATTCTTCTGATCATTGCTCCTTTCATCAGTATGATCTCAAATAATCTCGTTTTGAATTTTTGTTGCATTTTCGGTGTGATTGTTTGCATGATTTGTATGATTATTGTGGTTTACAGCTCTGTGCCCGTTGTCTTACTATTATCAGCGTCATCCCGTCAACTACTTGCTTCTTGGAATCTTCACCATCACTCTTGCTTCCGCAGTTGGTTTGACATGTGCATTCACTAGCGGTAAGTCGATGGTCAAACAATTTGTTCAGAACTTTATCTGCTTTGTGTTTCAGATATTATCACAATCACTGTTGTTTCAAATATTATACTCGGTGTTTGCAAGAAAATGAGTGATAATTTGGACAAATTTGGTAAATGAAAGCTGAGCTGAGGGTTCTACAATTGTTTTTGCTTACCGATTAATCCTCCGGCCGACCACCAATTGCCTAGAGTCATCGCAAATGAACCTTTATGGCCGCAAGGGATTTGGCGTCGCATGGATTCGAACTCGGGGAATATGAGATTTCCACTACATCTCCTAAACCTTAACCCGTGCATGCCACAACCCAAGTGGTTAGGACTTAGAGTTATGCATTGCCTACCTTTGTTTTAAAGAATAAATTAGAGGGTTTCGCATTGCTGTGATTTTCATGAAAATGAGTTCAAGTTATCTCTATGCTTATGATCTATCCGGGAATTGCTAAAAATGTAACATCCCAGCCAACCGTACCAGACATCGTTCGCTTTATCCACGCCTAGACTCACAGTTTTAAAACGCTTGTGATAGAGGAGATATCTAGTCCCTTAGAAGGAGAATTTTGTAGTTTGTTCTCCTCCCCGACCGATGTGGGATCTCACAAAAGATTGATGGTTTTGAGAGCATCTCAATAATAAACCATTGACTTATGAAGAAATACTCTTTTAAGGATTCATTTATTAGACTCCACCTTGATAGGATCCTATATAGGGTTACTTGGTAGATTAATCTTATGAGACAATTTTTTTATATTTATAACCTTCTAACATATTCTGAGGCATCTTTATTTTAGGCTGTCTTAAATTTGTTTGCAAGTCATGCATTTGAAAAGAAATCAATTACAATGTTATTTTTCTAAATAACTCATCACATATATACATGGACTAATGCCAATTATTGCCAAACATGGACATGATCAGTGAGCTGGTAGTTCATTATGCACGTACTCCTCTATTTTGTTTCCCGATTAAAGCTTAGGACTTGCAGTCGGGTTCATTGAACATATTCTTCTTTCAGGACTAGGCTATACGTGGTTCATGGTTCATATTCCTCTCTAGATTCTTTAGTAGGTCTGTAACATCCCACATCAGTTGGGTAGGGGAACAAAGGTTGTCTTATAAGGGACTGAATACCTCCTCTATAAGACGTGTTTTTAAACATTGAGTCTAATATTTGGTATGGCTGGCTTTGGATGTTACAAGGTTGATCACTTCTCTTGGTCTAACCCGCTTGGATTTGGAAATTTTGAAGTTCTGAATTATAGTTCTTCAATGGGTTACATCATGTGCTACATTGCCAAATTAGTTTTTATAAGTAACCAATGACCATGGTAGTTAGAAGATAAGGCGTTAGATGACATGCCATAAAGAAAATATCATCTGAGGGGTTGTAAGAAGTGTAAACAACACTCAGCACCAGATTTTGTAGAACAGGTTGCTCAATCGGTTGATTTTATGCAGGGAAAGTCATTTTGGAAGCAGTTATTTTGACGGCTACGGTGGTTGTGAGTCTCACTCTGTTTACATTTTGGGCTGCAAAGAGAGGTTACGACTTCAATTTCTTGGGGCCCTTTTTGTTCGGTGCGGTTATGGTGCTTGTTGTCTTTTCGTTCATTCAGGTTCGTGGTTTGCTGCTCAAGTGATCTCATTCATCCCTTCCGAGAGGCAAAATGCAGCCAAGTTTGGTTTAGTTCATATTTAGTGTAACTAAGATTTTTTTTCTTCGATCAATATTTTCTATTTTCTACACAGTTTGACCAGTTTCATTTGATGACATAGATAACCCTTAACTAAAGGGTTACAGCAAGGTGTACGATAAACTTAAACTTGACATCCACGTCATCAAATGTTACAAGATCATTAGATTATTGGTCAAAATGGGTAAAAGAATAAGAAAGTTTGAAACTTTGTTACATTACATAGAAAATTTTGAAAATATATATTTCATTGATCGAGAAAAGAAGTTCTTTGTTACACTTTGTTGCTTTTTGATGCATTTTGCCCCATTTCAGGCTTCGGTTTCCAACTCATTTGTTGATCTCTTTGCAGATTTTCTTTCCTCTGGGCAAGATTTCAGTGATGGTTTACGGGGGTTTATCAGCCATCGTCTTTTGTGGCTACATTGTCTACGACACCGACAATCTAATCAAACGATACACCTACGACGAGTATATCTGGGCTGCTGTGGCTCTATACCTCGATATCATCAATCTTTTCATTTCGTTGCTTACCATTTTAAGAGCTGCCGACAGTTAGAACGATCATCACCTTCACCATCGTATCATACCTCATAGGTATTAATTATTTTTAAGAGTTTGGTGCATCTTTGAATAGATTCCATCCTTGGCAGCAAACATTTATCACAAATTGTTATTTGTTACAAAATTGTTTTTGAGACAAGATAGATTAAGTTTAATATTGTTGCTGTTAAAAACCCAAAATTATGTGTAATGAAATAAAGACAGGGTTATGTAATTATGTTCTCTCATGTGTGTTTTCTCTCTTTCACACTTTTCACTAGCAGCGGGTCGTCACAAGTACAACTGTTCCAACTCTTTAGGTAGAGGTTAGGTACGTGTACATTATCAACCCCCAGGGGGACTCCATCTGCTAGTGGAAACTAGCCGCAGTTAGGGATGGTCACGAGAACAACTCTTTGAAGTAGAGGTTGGGTATGCGTACATCATCAACACCCCCCAGGACTCAATCTGTGGGTTGGATGCTCTTGGCTTGTTTGGTTATGCTGTTATCATTTTGAGCTTATAAGTACACAAATCTACTCGGTTGTTACATTATTTTTACCTCCTATTTATAGGCTGACCTTGAAAGTATGGTCGTCTTCGACTTTTTAGGAGCTCAGTGAAACGCTACTGTTTGTTGCTGAGAAGGTATTATGCCCACACACGAAAACAATCTCTCTACCATTTGGGGTGGAGGCAAAAAATTTCGAGCAAGTTTTATCTTTTCTTTTCGCATACTTTGCACAAGCCGGGGGTGTTCATAGACAAGGGCGGACCTAAATCGAACGGTGCCACCGCTTCATGGTTCCGTCGTAAGGGGATCATATTGCTTTGTTGGGTGCCACCATATAGTTTTTGAAACTGAATGTTAGCACACGACTTCGATGATGAAGATGGTAAATGCTCAGGTTCGAGTCCCATGGTTATCAAATTTATTGTTTTTTAGCTTAAATTTTGGTGTTCTTTTTATATATCCCTTGTGTTTTTAAAAATATATATAGACCAGACCAGACCCGAACATGAGTCTCTTCTATATAAAGACAAGGAACAAACCAACAGATATATAAAATTAGATATTATTTACAGTCAAATTGTGCCACCACTTGAAAAGTTTTTTGGGTCCGGCTGTTCATCCAAAGATTCCAAACCGCATAAACCGTCCACAATGCAAAGTGCGGTTTAAACATCCATGGTGCGGTTTTTATTTTATATATTAAGTATCGGAGATGAAAGAAAAGTGTAGACACATGGACACATCATATAACAACTCACACGTCCAATTTTGTTTGAAGTTAGTGTTACTTCTTAGACTATTTTTATATGCCAAATTGTATTTGGGAATCACTCTTTATTTATTTGAACTGAGGGCACATTATCGTTGATATTATTGTATTTTTCAAAGTTATAATTATTGAATTGTAGGCATAAATGCGGTAGATACAAACTGCACCGTAATTTTGTTTGCGATTTGAGGGTTATACGATGCGGTTTGCAGTTTGAGAAAATGCTTAAACCGCATATATGGTGCGGTTAGCGGTTTGGCCTCAAACCGCATCATGAACATCCCTATTAATTTACATCCCACTCTTAGGATCCTACCTTTAGATGGGATATATTGGGTTTGTATGGTTTTAAAAGCGGCTAAACATATAATATCTGAAGCTAGCATTATATATCACAAGAAGTAGGAATATGAGGCTAAGTTTGAGCATTCAAAACCAGATGCTTATAAAGTTTATTACAATTTACCTCCACACTTGTTCCTGTTCCTGTTCCATTTATGGTTGCTTGGTGGGCTTCCTTTCATCTACCATGGAAAGAAGTCTGGAAACACCTTGAGTCCACATATCGTATTCTCTTTGTGTCCTGCACTCGAACTCCACCAATCCACGACCGATTGTCTTCAGCCCAAAATAACGCCTTTCTTCTCCACCGTCAAACAGATGCCGCCCTGGCCATGCCGCCATGTTCTTGCACACCTCCAACACCACGTCTGCAACCACCCATTAACGTTTACTACTTTTTGTTTCTCACCGTCAACCAAGATATTAGTTTTATGTATCACTTACTTTTTTTCTTTTTCGTGATGGTAGAACCGACGTGTTTGCTCTTCATCTTTAGCATCACCTGACCCGTTCGATGGATGTAAACAGACACGATTTTCCAGTGGAGATCACCTGCATTTCATTTCCCAACAACGATTAAGGCCTGTTTGTTAGCAGCTTAATAGGACTCGCGGCTTATTCGGTCAGCTATACATGACTGTTTGGTAGTAGCTTAATAATATAGAAAACGGCTTATTCAATAAGCTTCTAGGAGGAAGCTTTATATAAAAAGTCTAGTTTTTTTTCCAAACCTGTTCTCGTCAATTAAAAAATTCTCTCCTTCCATCTATGAAAAAACTTTTCCAAACAAAAATTTTCCTAATCTATACGGACAGATTAATCCACACAGTCGGTTTTATCGATACATGACTTAATGAAAACCAACCAAACAACCTTTAAAAGCTATAAAACTCATGTTGGCTGAGAAGTTAGTTGTTAGCTAAAAAACTAATTATTAACCAGTAAGGTAGTTGTTGGCTATAAAGCTAGCTATTAGCTGAAAGTTGCTTGTTAGATGAAAATCTATTTATTGTATGTTAACTGAAAAGTTAGTTGTTGACTCATAAGCTAGTTGTTAACTGAAAACTAGTTGTTTGCTAAGAGTATCTCCAATAGATTCTTCAAAATGGACATTTTGGGTATTTTTGCTCCTACAGATTTCCCGAAACTTCTCCAAAGTGAAGAAAAGTAGGAGATGGTTAAATTCTCCAAATTTAGAAAACTCTTCAAAAATAATTATCTATGAAAGAGAAATTATTTTTTATTATTCCTACCAATGATAATCCATGAAATTAAATATATATGAGTGAGAGAAACAATATCTTATGAAAGGTAACCACCAACATGGAGAAGCTTTTGCAGATGAATAGGAATAGGAATTTTCTTTGGTAATTTTGACTTTTGATTCTACATTGAATCTCTTGGATATAATAAGTTAGTTGTAAAGTGAAAAGCTAAGTTGGCTAATAAGTTAGCCGGTAGGTGATAAACAAAATTTACTTGAAGTAGCTTTTAGTTGTCAAACATGGCGTAAGTTGGTGGTTCTTACCATTACGAGTGCGTTTGAGAAGCTCGCTTCCCCTGGCTAGGAGTTCTTGGTTACAGATACCGAGAAAATTTTCTTCTATCGGAAGCTGCTCGGAGGAACCGCTGCTATTTCCTTGGCTTTTGCTTTCTTTAAGTCCTCGGTCCACTGGTATTACCGCTGCAATATTCCATACTTCCTTCAACGCCCTTGCCTTTAAGGTCGCTGCACCGCGTAGAGCTGGACGAACAACAAAACACGCTTAACAGTTAATCATCGAAGCTCAAACTTCACCCTCAATGCATACTAGGAAAAAAAAAAGCGGTTTTATAGGACTTTAAATAWGTCTAAATATCATATAGAYTGGTTTACAGGATTTGAGTTCCTAGAACCAAACAATTGTACATCTTATGTAAAAGTGTTACAATATGTTTATAGGATACTTTTGGRTGTTGTAACAAGCTTTTAAAAAAGCATTTTATATGACATCATTAGTAAAAGTGTAACAAAATCGGCTTTAGGATCTTTTACATGACATTATTTGAAAAAAATATCTTATAAAGACAACTCTTGTGTAAAAAGTAGCGTTCATAAGTGACCTAAAAAGTTAATCTATAGATTCCTAGAAGACTTAGAACGGTAAAAAAACGTGCAACAACTTAATGTAACATATTTATATAAGATATGTAATTGTTTGGTCCTATAAATCAGTTAAATTATGATATTTGGACATATTTGGGGTTCTATACGACCGGTTTTGTTGTATTTGCAAGTCAGTTCTCTTGAAGTAATAATGCRAGGGTTTAGGGTTCACCTGTTGCCGCAGCCGCAGTGAGAGTTAATATATCTCCATGCGATTTTACATTAACCGCAGAACTAACAGCAGCAACAAGGTGTTCACGTTCAGCTCCCATCGCTTCCGCAGTCTCCACACACTGAGCGGCAACCAATGTGGCGGCCGAGGCCACCGCCATATTGGTCTTCGCCATTTGCTCATCCTTACTAGACGCYGATGCTGCCGCCGTGGCGGCTGCAATCGTCGCCACCGCTGCCGCCACTCCAGCAACCGAAACCGCCGCGTGTAACTGCGCATTATGAGCTCGAGTCTCTTCTTTCTTCTTCTCTCTCCTCTCCTTCAACCACCGTCCCACCGTCTTTCCGGCAGGGGTGGTGCTACTCCCACCCGCCCCGTACCCGCTCCGACCGTTGGCAAACAACGGTTGCAGCGTATTGTTGGCGCGCAAAAACTGTATTTCCGATTAAAAAAATAGTATATTATTCTCGATACGATTCGACAATGACCAGTGGTTTGACGGTCAAAAATTTACACCAAAAAAGAAAAGCTGCACAAAAACAAAAAGAAACCTTGTCCCCTTGAGGGATAATAAAGTTAAAGGTATAGAGGGGTTGGAGGTGTCACTTTATTTTTCTTTCCCTTCTGATTCAAAACAGTTAACAMTAATTTGTTTGTGTTCCATTTTACTTTTCAAAATTAGAACAAGAGAAGCATTCAAACCTAATTATATAATGGAGTCTTTGGTTAGATAACTTTAAAGTGGTTTTCAATTAAAAGTATCATGTTCTAATCTTTGTAATTATGAGCTGTTTGTTTACCTCTTAATAATTTCATTAAGAGGCATTTTCTGAATCGTTAAGAGGTGAATTTCATTTGATAAAAAAAGTTTGTTTATTAACCATTTAGCACTCTAATTTCATTGTAAACAATTACGGAACAATTATATTTCATTTTGCACTATATAATGAGAGCATCTTAATCATTTTGACTACTTAATCATTTTGCACCAAACCATTCAATAACTGYGAAACAACCTCTTAATATTAATGATATTCATCTGACATGTAGTTTAAAACGGTCCACTTTTATCAAACACGAAAATATACTTTAAAGTTAGATTATTATTGGGTCATTTGATTCAATGACGTTTTGATCTGGAATTTAAAAAACACTTGTCAGCAAATGATCTAACTAAATAGTTATATATCAATGATTGAAGATATAYATTATGGAATGGGGTCCTTTAAATGAAAAATCTTAAATGGGTGCTCATAACCTTCTAAAAAAATTAAATTTGAAATTATTAGAATCATAACCTTYTAAAAGAAGGTTTGAACCCCTGACCTCCTAGAAGGCCAAAGACTCACATACCRTTAAGCCAAAGTCTTGTTCCTCATAAGTATATAATTTCAAATGAGATTTAATTAAATTAATGACTTTATAAAACYTGGTTTTCCTTAATTGGTCATGAGGTCGTGGATTTAATTAAAAAGTCATTTAAGATCATATGTCTCGAATTAGGGGAAAGTAACGGAAAGGGAAARGAAGACAACAATTTTTCATGTTCTTGGACATAAGAGAAATAAAATAAAAGTTGTCACTTTAAATATATTCTTTAAAATGAAAGGTTGGATAGTTTTTTAATTTTAAAAATGTTCTAAGAAAGTGTTTGGTCAAAGTTATTAACTAGTAACCAATGGTAATGAAAATAAAAGAAATTGTTTGKTTTTCTATAATATAAYGAGCTCATCCAATGAGCTCATCCCCCTAAAAACCCAAAATACTATCCTGATTARAYCRAGRAAAATAAAAATTCATTCCTATTTTCATTMCTWRTCATTTTCGTTTTRATTTCCATTTTCWTCACTCATCATAGCCAGACCCTAATTTTTTTCCTCTCTTGTTCCTCCTACAAAATTATCATTATTTTTATTCAGATTTATTTCCTTTTTCTCAAAGAGTTTGGAGAACACAATCTTCTTTTACTTTCCTCCCATTTACTTTTTTTTTGTTAAAATAGGTTTCTGAGAACACAGCCTATATGACCTTAGAAAACAGTTACAAATGTCATTGGACTAAATTAACCTTTGGGGAATGATATTATGCACATAGTTTCCAACATGCAATCAAATAGGACAAAAGGCAAGGGAGACGWAACAGGATATTTAAACGGAGAAGTAATACCTTAACGACGTCGTCGTACTCGTCGGACGGTGAGATATGTGGACTATCGATTTCCTCCATGTGCGACGGATTCAATGGTCCACTACTGTGTGAAAGCCTCCCTGACGCTAATGGCGATATATCCTGCCACAATCAATTCATTAATTAAATAATCATTCAAAACATTAAATAGCATCACCTCCATGGCGTGATCTGTGATTCTGTTAGCACACGAAAATGATCTGATCTACGAATAACAAAAAACTACCTGAACTTGAATCGTATTTTTCTAGACGGAAACKCACCGATTGAGACATAATTCGTTCAAGCACGAGCTGTGAAGTGGCAGAAGAAGCGAACGAAAACGTTGTGCCGGAAAGTGAAGACGCTGTCGTCGTTGAAGACTCATCCGCTGCGTCGACGCCGAAAACACTGTTGTTCTCCGGCGGAACATTGAAATTTGTGGCGGTTGTTCCCGCCTTAGAAATCAACGGTGACGGCGGAGAATGCAGAGTTTTTGAGACTTGAAGAGTAGCATCACTCCATGACCTTGAYAAGAACTCCATCGGCTTCCTTGGACTCTCCGGCAACTGAAATCCACCGCCCGAATYCTGATCCTGCCATAGACTGTCCATTTTTCAGTACAGTGGGAGTTATGTTATCATTTGGTTTTGGGAGGTTACTATTTATAGACGATATTAGTGTTTGAACACTCGTGTGATTCGGGTCGGGTCAACCATATTCCGGAAAACTTCTGGATCCGCTAAAAATTTGAACTTTTCTGAAAGAAAACATTTTTCTTCCTATTAGAAAATTTTACAAAATTTTAAATTAACTATTTAATTGTGATTTACAAAATAGTTACTTTATCAGGTAGCATTTTCGACCATTAAAATTGATTATTGTTAAACATCTTTTCTCTAGTTATCGGGTAAGATTATTGGTCTTTAAAATACCTTTTATTGAGTAWGGGGTTGTTCAGCAGTTGCTGAATGGTTTGGTGCAAATGATTAAGTGATCAGAATGATTAAGAGAAACTCATGATATAATGCAAAATGAAATATATATTTTTTTGGTAATTGTTTACAATGAAATTAGGACGCTGAATGGTTAAGGGAGACCAATGATACAAAATCATTAAGAGGGTTTTAAAATCATTAAGAGACAAACTTTTTTTTTTGTCAAACAAGATTCACCTCTTAACGATTTAAATATTGTCTTTTAATGGAACTATAAAGAGGTAAACAAACAACCCATAAGATTATTGATACTTGTCATATTCATCCGTTAAGACAAATGACATTTGATAAACTCTTATTYGATAAACACTTGGTAAACAGTCTCTTAATCATAAAAATAAGCATAATTCAGTCATTTTAAAAWTTGTAGGTTGATGTTCATTGATTATTCAATGTATAATACACSTATTTCCTAATTTTTAGTTAGTTTATTTTTSTTTTATTCCAACCTTGAGTCTTTTTTATTACATTATTTTYCATTTGTTTATATTTGAAGCTAAATTAAGTAATTAGTTTGTCTTTGCACCATTAGAGTAGAAAATCCTTAAACTTGAAAGCATAYTGTTMTGTGYTGCAGCATTCCARCAACATTAAACTGTCATCAAGTGGCTTTGAAACAATTTAAGTTTCGGAATTACTTTTAAGTTTGTTCTTTACTTTCCGTTGTTTTTTTCCGTCATTTATTGTTCACTCTTTACATTAAGTCATTTACTTTTTTTAATTTATATTTATGTTTTTATTTTCCATTATTTATTTTATTTGTCATTTACTTTCCRTTATAAATAGCTAATTCCGTTAGCTTGGGTGTGAGACAAAAAGGGAGATTTAAAACCGAAGAAAAGTGAACGTTGTTATGCAATAACAACATTCCACTATTTCATTCAAGTTTTATAAAAAACAATGACACTTCTTGACAAGTTAATCACTTTGAAAGTGTTAAAGTGTCATGGTTTTACAAATAAGTCATTTAATGCACGTCAACTCAGAGACGGACCCATAATTTTTTTTAAACGGTGGCACCATTTGACCATAAGAAAAAAAATATAGGAAATTTTTTTCAAACGGTGACACCGTTTGACTATAAGAAACAAATATACGGAAATTTTTTTCAAACGGTGGCACCGTTTGACTAAGAAAATGACACTAACATGATTCGGACTTGGGTGTGGGGTAGAATAAAAGCCTTGAAAACCAACTCTACCAAATAAAACTTGTTCTCATTGTAGTTTAAAATACATACGATGGCACACAACAAATTAATACGGTTGCACCGTTCACGAAACCTAAATTTTTTACCCTTCGGCGGAGAAACGATACGATGGCAYGTGCCACCTATGGCACCTATGTAGGTCCGCCGATGCGTCAACTTGAATGATATGAGAGGTGGACTTGAAAAAATTGCCGACAAAAAGACTTGTCATTTGTATCTTTCAAACTAATTAATTTTCGACAGGTTGGTCACTTGTTAAAGTGTTAAAGTGCGGTAGACTCATATATGAACTACCTAAAACACACGTCAACTTGAATGATATGGGAATCGGCTCGAGAGAGTGATTTTTAACAAAGATATTTGTTTATCCATATATTTTGATAACACAATTTGTCACTATTTACCACATAGAGATATAGGTTAAAAGCTATAATATAGTGCAATAGTGGAAATCCGAGAGGAATACCCTCAGAATAGATTGTGGAACTAGTTATGCCTAACTGCTTTCTGTAGCATCCCTACAACATTGTCCGTTGGAATTTGTGTTTATGTTTCATCAAAAGTCTTACACTCATGCTACCTTTATTTATTATTGTATTTGCAATTGTTAACTCAAAACCAATCAGAGTCTTCAAATTCGTCATCTGAAGTTAGTMTTTCAACTCGATATCTTACAACTTAAGATACCTACCCCTGTGGAATACGATATTTGGTTCTTACCATTTTATTATTTGAAGGCAATAGTGTTGACACTTGTATACTTACATGTGTTACCACTTAGTATTGTAGATATACAAATATCTAGATCCCATCATAGGTCACAATTTATTACTTGAAGACGATAGTGTTGACACGTGTATATTTGCATGTGTTACAACTTAGTGTTGTAGAGATACAATATCTAGATCCCATCATAGGTCATAATTTATTTTGTCTTTTTAACTGATAAAAATGATAATTTGAATTTAATGCATAAAATTTAATAAAAAAATACTAATGATTATGAAATAAAAAGTGTATTTTAATAAGTCAATTTTGAAATACTAATTTACCACACTTTCTTAATATCATATAAGGCAAATTGCATAAAAAATAACGTAATTTAACTTGATTCCTATTTTAGGTAACATATTTTTAAAACTTTCATTCTGGTAYCTAAGATGTAAAGTTTTAAACATTTAAGCATYCGGGTAACYAGTTGAASCATAAACCGGTTACCATGTTGATATGACGAGTGATGTGGTATCCAGTTAATRCTTCAACAAATAATATTGAGTTGTATACCACATCACTTGYTACATTAACATGGTAACTGGTTAATGCTTCAATCAATTACCTGAGTACTTAAATATTTAAAACTTTACATTTTAGGTACCAAAATAKAAGTTTTKAAAATACATTACCCAAAATAAGAAYTAAATTAAAGTACATTATTTTTTCATGCAATTTRYCCTATCATATAACCRTTATCAAATAGCAAACTAACAATAATAAGGKTCGATATAATCCTTAGCAGTCTTTCTTTTCAATATTTGAAATCAATAAATCAATCAAACTCAGATATATAACATAAGAAGATCAAGTTTGGAAAAGATAAAATATATGCAAAACGTTGCCTTTATCTCAAGAGACAACCAACCATTTTCGGAAAGATTTTCAACTCGTAGAAAAAGTTTTACTAAAATATATAAAACTATTTTTTCATTAACCTGGATATCCAACTCGTTATGTGAGCCGACTAATCTCGGAACAACAACCAGCTTTGTAAGTAGCCCGAAGTCACCGTATTTGAACATCTGTGGTCACAAGAGAATTTTTATTTTTTTTTGAACTTGAATATGGGACCTCCAGACACTTTTGACATTTGGAGCCCAAATTCAAACCACCCTCGTGGTTAAAAAAAATACCACTAAATAATTAGTAATATAAATAATAATCAAAAACGAATAAATTCATATGATGGTGTAATTATTGAGTTATGATAAATAATAAATAAGGAGTGATGTCGTTAACATATAGGTAAGGATGTAAATATCTCCATCCAATGTTTATCCATCTCATAGTTGAGGCTATGATGGAAAATATACGTTTACTTTACAAAATAGACAGTTACTTTAAAACAAACTAAAATAGCAGTATAAACATATATTCTAAGGTTTAAGAGCATCTCCAACAGTTATGCAATAAATTTTTAAAATGAAATATCAAAAGTTAAAATCTCAAAAAAGTTATATTCAACTCCAACAGGTACTCTATTTTAGCAATTTTTTCATCAACTATATTATTAAATATTATTTCTCTCTTTTTAAATACAAAAATTTTTATAGTATAACTACTGAAACAAAAAGGRCAAATTGCATGAGAAAATAACGTCTTTAACTTAATTCTCATTTTGAGTAACGTACTTTCAAAATTTCAATTTTGGTAACTAAGATGTAAAATTTTAAACATTTAAGTATCCGGATAATCGGTTGAAGACTAATTTTAGATTAAAAAAATCCATGTCATTAACTACATCGGCAAATAATACCGAATTTGATACCACATCACTCGTCACATCAACATGATAATCAGTAATGCTTCAACCGGATACTTACATGTTTAAAACTTTACATCTTAGGTACCAAAATGAAAGTTTTAAAAATGCATTACTCAAAATCAAGTTTAAATATATTACTTTTTCATACAATTTATCCAAACAAAAATATATTTTAATTTCTAAAATATATATATTTACATAGCTAATAATTATGGTGAATAATAAAAATGTAGATTTTGTTCTCTTTCACAAATTTCTAAGTAAGCTTTTATAGTCTTTAATTATGGAAAGCTTATTATTGATTGTTAATGTTAATGAAAGATCTACATGGCWTTCATGGGATTTAGTTTTTAATGCCACATGTTGTTTATGTAATCATTGCACACATCACATGATTGAGTCTTTAATTGTAAATTATTATTATTATTATTAAATCATTACAAACAATACTTTTTTTTAATTAACATGGATATCTAACCCGTCATGTAAACCGACTAATCGTAGGGCGACCACCTACTTTGCAGATAGCCCGGAGTCACCGCATTTGAACATTCATAGCCATAAAAGGATTTTTATTTCTCATTGGATCTGAACCTGAGACCTCCAAGTACTTTTGATCTTTGAAGCCAAGCTCAAACCAACCAGACATCATCCTTGTGGTTACAATACTTTCTTTTTGATGTTTTAGGTTTTTGTTTTTCTTTTCAATCTTTTGAACTATGTTAAAATATAGATTTATAAAATGTTTTTCTCTAATGATTATGTTATAAGAGTGTTTTTAATAGATTTTTTTTAAACAGATAAAAGGGTATTTGGTTTAACGGTGCCGTAGTTTTTGGCCTTCTAAAAAGTCAGGGGTTCAAACTT